TAACAAGAACTTTTGGCATAGCGCTTTGAAACGGACGATGAAAAAGGAATGATATTCAGAAAGGATTTTGGAATCGCATTTCCTCCAGCTTTTACTCACTATATTTTGAATGTAATTTCGCAGAATTGTGTACGATGGGATGCGGAGCCCAGATAACAGTTCGAATAACAGCTGCAGATTAATTAAAATTTCTTCCCTCTCAAAAAACGCATAAAAAGCCAATTACAAGAATAATTAGCGTTTTCTGGTGGCGGGAATGGGAAAATCCAAGATGCTGACAATCAGGCTCTCATATATCAAGTTCTTTTAATCTAGAGATGTTTTTCAGGTAGATCAAAGATTCACCTCATTTCACCCATTTATATATATTACTGATATATCTAAATATATTACTGATAGCCCCACCCGCATTTGAAATTCTACGGCGCCTGTGAAATTCCTCTCTCCAGCATCTGACTAGATGAAATAACTATATTACAATTAAAAGCATTATGAAAGAAGAAATACCCATAAAAAATGTTACCTTCTCGTTCACCTCTATTTCACCGTTTTCTCAGCTAATATTCACTTGAGCCAAATTCACTTGAGCTTGAAGAATTCCTCTTCCAGAAGAATCTTGAGAAGAAGTAAGGCTCAAAGGTAAAATTATAATTTATGGATGCAAAGTAAATGTAATATGCAAATAAGTCACAGATGAAAAGTGTAGAGCTGTCAAACGAAGGAATTACAGGTAAAAGAGAGGTAAATGAGAGGGTATCGGTAAAATTGGGATATTAAAACGTGTAATAAATGAAAACTAGTAACGGATAGTAACAAAAAAACCAAGGAAACCCCTCCCCCTTTTACAACAGTTTCGCTGTCCGAATTATACTTCTTGTAAACATTTTTTGCAAAGGTAGAAGCGTAGATTGGGAGGGTATGGACCGTCATTCATGCCTTCATGAGTTCATGGACATGATCTCCTCGATCCACTCAACAAACCTGACAGGAAGGAAGGACAATAGTTAGTTGCCATCGAAAACAACTAAAGCAGAATCAAAATAATATACAGGGTGTCCCAAAAGTCCCTGTACAACTTTGAAATTAAATTTAAAATTAATGGTTAGAGTTAGAACTAATCTGTTTATTGCATAATGAAATGCATCTCAAAAAGTTTTTATTTTATTTTCTTCCAATATTAGAACACAGCAATACATGTTCCGAGAGTTGCATGGAGAACTTCAAGAAAATAGCCCATTTCTTGCTAAGTTCACTGTAACATGCCCAGATCAACATTCCTTATCGCATTGCGAATTCGGGTTCATCAATTCCTCAATGTTCACTTTTGTACGGTATACTTGGATTTCTTCCTATAAGGTCGAAGCATACCGTACAAAAGTGAACAACATTGAGTTGAACAGAATTCGCGATGCAATCAGGAATGTTGATGTGGACGTTTTACAATGAACATGGTATGAAATTAGTTATTTTCTTGACGTTCTCCATGCAGCACACGGAGCGCACATTTCTGTATTCTAATATTGTAAAAAAAAACCTTCTGAGATGCGTTTAATGATGCAATAAACATATTAATTCTAACTCTTATGGTTACTTTCTTAAATTTAGTTTCAAAGTTGTACAAGGGACATTTTCGACATCCTTTATATATATATTTAAAATTCATTAATGCCATTTTTATTAAGAGTAACTTTCAGCGCGCAAACTTGGTAATGTCCTGAATGGTTCGCGCGAGGATGGACCCCAGTGATGCGGACGGCCGTACTTTCTCCGGTCCAACCATGTTATAGGCGTTCTTTATATTATAGACGATGCCCCAATAGCAGTCCAGGAGAGGAATCGAACGGTAAACGACCTTGGCAACGGACTCTGAACATCGGGACTTGGGACGTGCTACATCTCTCTGACACTCGCGGTAAGGAGCCTGAACTCATGTAGGAGACTAGGAAGACACAACTAGATATAGTTGGCCTGGCCTCAACCAAGAGGAAAGGCACCGGTTCCATTACCCTAGACCACGGATGGACCCTTTACTGGAGCGGAGTCGACTCGACCGTGTTTGCTCAGGCTGGAGTAGGGATACACATTAGTCTCCAACTGGCCGAAAGCGTCATCGAATGGAATCCAGAGTGTGTCGCTCTTATCCGCCTCAGACAAGAGCAAGTCGGAGTCTTGGCCGTCGTTCAGGTCTACGGGCCGAACAGCGAGTCAGATTACGATGCGTTTTTCGAGGAGGTGTATGGAGCCTTAGAAATGATTCGAACGGCGACCGTGCTGTGTTGATGGGGGATTTCAATGCACGAGTTGGGGGAGACGATGCTACATGGAGTGGTGTGAACGGTCAATTTGGAGAACCCAGCACAAAGATATCCAGAAGTTTACCTGGTACAGGGGGTCTGATAATCGGACTGGTACTGTGTGCCAGCAATCGCTGATCGATTACGTAATCGTTTTGGCGGACTTGTGGGGCCTTGTGATGGATTCAAGGGTGTGGCGAGGGGAAGTATTGAACACCGATCATCATCTAGTGGTCAGCAAACTTTGGATACGAGCGAATCTCTGAACGAGGCAGAAAACCGCACGCGTTGTAAGACGAGTGAGGTAGGAAGCCCATCGCAATGAGGGAACTCGTGACGAATTTGCGAGGGAGATCGGCGAGTACTCCCAACTGCCTCCTCAGACGTCAGATGTAGAGACCGAATGGGCTCTATTTCGTTCTGGTGTTTCGGCGGCGGCAGCAAGAGTTTGTGCGGTGAAGTGCATCGGAGTGGCTCACGGTAACGCCAAACGCACCCACTGGTGGACACCAGCGGTGGGCGAGGTTGTCACTGTCAAGAAGATAGTCTACCGGGAGTACATGTCCAGTAGGTCTGATTCTTCTAGGACGTGCTATACCGTGGCGCGATGAACTGCTGCTAGTGTTGCGGACAAAGCGAAACAGGAGGCGTGAAAATAATTCAGCCATCAAATGGAACCAGACTACCGCACTGCCATGAAGGTGTTCTGGCAAACCATCCGAAGGTTACGGCAAGGCAGCAAAATACGCTCCGGGTCATCAAAGACACAAAGGGGGAGGTGTTGGCTGCCTAGGCGGATATTCTTATGAGGTGGGAGGAACACTCTGATGAGCTCTTAAACCCACCAACAGTGGACGCTGCCCTACCGGACCTGGAGTCTCTCAGCGCGAAGATTAGTATCACCATGGAGGAAAGTTCTGTAGGCCATTGCTAGTCTGAAGAAGGAGAAGTCTCCTGGTGTGGATGAAATCCGGCCAGAGACTCTGAAAGCAATGGGTACAGATGGGTGCTCGTGGCTTTAGATGGTGTGTCAGGCTGCTTGGGAATCGGGAACAGCACCTAGGGATTGACAAATCGGTATGGTGTTTCCTTGTTTGAAGAAGGGGGACTCGAGGGAGTGCTCGAAGTATCGAGGGATTACTCTCCTCAACATACATGGTTAAGTCTGTTCCAAGGTGCTGAAAAGAGAGCTCGGGCAGTGGTGGGTGGGGTCATCCATGAGGAGCACTCTCCACCAGATCCTCGAGAGACATTGGGAGCATGCCAAAGATGTATTCATGTGCTTTGTCGACCTTGAAAAAGCTTACGACCGTGTACCTCGAGGAAAACTGTGTGGAATCCTGCAGGAGTATGGGATCAAAGGTCAGCTATTGCTGGCCGTTCAGTCCCTATACAGCGAATGCAGAAGCTGCAACCGAGTGAGCGGGAGGAGATCGGATTGTTTCATGGTACGCGATGGACTCCAGCAGGGTTGTGTCCTCTCACCTTTCCTATTCCTCGTGTACATGGACAGGATCTGTAGGCATAGCCTCGGCCTAGAGAGGGTCAACATCGGTGACGTCGCGGTATGGATACTTCTTTTTGCCGACGATGCCGTTCTTTTGACCCGCTCTCGACAGGAGCTCTAGAGCGTGCTCGATCGGTTCGACTCCGAATGCACTGCGGCCGGAATGAAACCGAGCGCCTCCAAGACACAGGTCAAGGTCCTCTCGAGAAATCCTGCTCAGAGCATCCTGCATGTCAGTGGGGTCCCACTTGAACAGGTGGAAAAGTTCAAGTATCTCGACGCCTGGTTCTCGAGTGATGGGCGACACGGGAACGAGATCGACGATCGCATCTCCAAGGTTTCTGCGGTTTTGCGGGAACTTTGGCGAACCGTGGTTATCAGATCGGACGTTTCTAGGGAAGCAAAAATCTCGATTTTTAAAAGTGTTTATCTCCCCATCCTCACCTATGGTCATGAACTTTGGGTAACGACCGAAAGCACCAGATCGAGGATACAAGCTGCCGAAATGAGGTTCTTGCGTCGAGTGGCTGGCGTAACGCGCCGTGATCGGAACTGCCGAACTGCCATCCGCGAGAGTCTCCACGTCGAGCAGCTGCTTCTACAGATCGAGAGGTCTCAGGCCAGGTGGTTTGGACACGTCTGCCTCATGCCCCCTGAGAGGCTCCCAAGAGGAGTCTTCCAGGCCAAGATGACCGGCAAAAGACTTGTCGGCAGGCCTAGTAGAAGATGGAGTGATTACGTCGCTCGGCTTTCTCACGAGAGGCTGGGGATCCCACTAGCTGAGCTTGAGTCTGTTGCCCAGGATCGAGATTACTGGAGGATTCACTGGGAATGCTCGAACCGCGACCCCATTAAATTGGGAAAAGCGGCCTAGAAAATGTATGTGGGTATGTATGCAAAAGGAAAGATGTTAGAAGCATGGGAAATATGGAAAGAGGACACGCTTATGCTACCCACAGTAAAATATGACATTCTTTTTATTGGTACTTAGAAACCACATTAATAAAAAATGGGAAAAAAAGTTCTCTCTGACATGTTCCAAGATGAGGAAACTCTTAACAAGTGATCATCTGCGAGGAACTTCTGAAAACTAGTAACACCATGCATATTCTTAAATACATGTTTTCTTCTAATTGTTCAATTTCCATTGCCATTTGTTTACAACTTCACAAAGGAGCAGCATGAGATGAAAGAATTTCTCACTTATTGACTCGAGTGAATACGCCATACTGTCCAGGTTCGTAATTGGAGCAATTCTGTCCTGGCCTTTCATAGATATGACTGACGATTCCTTCGACCACCCACTGACTTTTCAGAAGACTAAGAGAGGCGAAGACCATGGGACTCCCCGAATCCCCTTTACACACTGTCCTGTATTCTACAGGAGAAAAATAAGGTCACCTACATTTATCGTAATTTCCGTAAATTGTGTAAATCCCAATGATACCACATCCATGGGTGCCATGGCTGATTAAGTTATTAGTAGCAAATAAATAAAATATATTATGTAGTACAAGCACAAACGGATTTAAAATTATGACCATACTGCACCCAGGCATCTTTCTTGTAAGTACTTCCATATGGTGTGGGTGAAATAATTGAATAAGAGAGTCACGCGCTATTAAAATGATAGGGATTGGAACGATTGGTATGATACCTTTTGCTTGTTCTTCCACAAATGAGGAGGAATAGTTCTGTTCTCCTGCACAAAACGTGTTCCTGGAGATGGAATCAGGGTGCGCTGCTGTGATTTCCGAGATTTTATTTCGGCATTCTTCCTTTGTTATGACTGCCAGCTGCACCTGAGTCAAGACGTCTGTTCCCCGATTTGAGGCATCTATTCCCCAACCTGTCACCTGGCGTTAAATCGATAATAGACATAAAGGGACAACAACAAATGAGGCATCTGAATGATGGTGTCTTACATATCCTCGGTGAGGACCACCTTTAACTTGTACACCATCCAAAATTTGATCAGACAGTTCATCATCGAACGGCAGACAGATCAATTGAACCCATTTCGTGATATTCGCCGAATCGTGGAGTTTCATTAGGGCAATGTCCGACTCAAAACCGGTGTATTGGTCATGCACGATGATTTGAGTCACCTGAAAAAAATATAAATGGGATACGTCCTCCATCAGAGATGAAGAGTAAATCAGCTGTCCATGTGGTGACAACCTTTTGGTGACTTTTTTTAGACCCTGAAGACGCAATTTTTTTTAACTTTTGTAGACTGATAACTTACTGACCTCGGAATAGTGCCAGATCTTTTCTCCTTCCACTTTGACACTGCCTAGAATTAATTTCCCACGCATGGCTTATCATGATTTGCTATTCATTTGAATAAAGAAGAAATTCAGACAACGATTAGAGGAATTTTTTTCGTTTAACGCAATTGCAACAACTTTTTGCAGTTAACACGGGATCGATGGAATAATGGAGCGTTTCCGGAATTCCAAGTCATAAACAATTTGGAATTTACTCCACAAATTGGCTCAATGTGTCGACCGCCGATTTCTAGATATTTCTGAGCCCTAGCAATTGTATTGTTCCTTTCATGAGAATTCCATCACTTTTCTGGCAACTGGCACTAGAGATAGGACTTATTATATTTCAAGTTGTTCTAACCTGTGGGCTTGTCCTGGTAAGCAATGCCTTTTAACCCTTAGAACGCCAAGATCATTTGCATCCCGCGAAACGCCAAGATCGGGTCATTTTTGACCCATATATATTTCTCGTAATGAATGAGGTTTTTGTTCAGAATAGAAGCTACACATACCTTTTAAAGATATTTATGTATTTATTTCCCAATAGATACCAAAAAAAGAAACGATACAACGGAACCTTGGAGGACTGGCCATCGGGTCATTTTGACCCGATCTTGGCGTTCCGAGGGTTAAGAAGCTCCAGAGATACAAAGAAATCAAATGGGATCAAAATCCGGAGATCGAGGAGGTAGTTTGCCTTAGGAGGCAATTCGGAATGCTACACTTCGTCGGTTTGAACTTCAAATTGAAACAAGGGTTTGGTAAATTAATTTTCAGTGACAAGAGAATGTAGAAATAAAAGATGCGAAACCATTCCGAGGTCTAATGATAAACAGACTACAACAATTAAAAAGTTACTTCCCATGGATTCAGTATGAAAAAAAGATGTCCATAGGCAGTCACTTTAAGGAAACCCTGTAATTTAACACGCAGATAACAAGAAATGCATTTGTGTCTGCACCTTCAACTTCTGCACGAATTCATCGTCCAGGGACGTATTTCGATGATGCTTGCCGAGATAGACCAAGAAATCATTCACATCACGAACTGCAATTGTGTCTTCGCCTTCCACGACGCAATGTGCTGCCGTGAGAACCCATTGCCTTCCAATCAGAACTCCTCCACAAATTATATCTTTCACCTCCGAATGGTCATCGTAGATGCCCGCCTGCCAAGGCCAAGCTCCACGTGCTGCTACTTTTCCTCCACGAACCAATCGCTGAGCGGATGCAACCGGGTTTTTGATCCGGCCGCACTCTAGAAACGCAGGAAAACCCACCTGTAATTCCGTCATCATACAAGTTATATAGATCATGCAATCGAATTCTCAATAATAATAAAGCAGACCAGGTTCACAAAGGGGGTCAGGGCCAGTCCATTCTCCATTCTCTCCGCATGTCCGTATACGTGGGCCCCGAAGAGTATAAAACTTCCTACATTTGTAGTTCACTTTACTTCCAATGAGGTATCTCCCATCTTTAATGCATTCTGTTCCATTTTTGGAGCTGAAAGAAATACGAGCTTTCGTCAGTAGCTAGTCTTAATGCTACCACATTTAGAGAAGATTTTGGCTCACATTATACGGTAGCGTAGGTTCACCGCTATTATCTCATTAACAAGTACCATGGCATGTTAACCCTTTAATGCATGCTTTTTCGGAAAGTAAAGAAAAAATCAGGTAACCAAGGAATTTGGTTTAGTCTAAGGGAAAATAATATTTAAAATATTCCAATTATTTTTGCTCAGCAATTTTCAAATTTTTTGCTTCATGCCATAAATGACACACTATGCATTAACCGTAGCACAAAAGCATACGAGGGGCAGTCAATAAGTTCCAGGAACACCTTTGTAACTTTGAGATCCTATACCTGAGGGAAATATTAGCTATAACATTTGAAAGCCCATTCTTTAATGTGCGTTTAGTACTAATGATCAATTTTTACACATATATTTATCGTAGACATGACCTATGGGAATGACCCATGTAAAAACCACTGGGAAAACGTACAATTTTTTTTTACCTTGGTAGTCGTGCATACATCAAGTATATTCTATTCAACTTCAAAAAATACACTTGCGGCTTCAATGTGACATGTCAAGGGTCTTGTCAAGCCTCCGTCATTAAATATCACTCATGCTCCTCACCTAAAACAAGGTTAATGGAGGGATTTTCCTTGAAAACCAGAATTGCCGACTTTTTCCCGTTCAATCGGGTGAAGCGGGATCCCAGCTGACTCCCTCAGCTGACTGGAAAGTGCTGTCTTTTATCTGACAGCACTGAAGTGTGTCATGAACCTTTTGCCCCTCGAAGATCTACCAGAGACCAAATATACACATACCTCTTTTACTTCTTGCCTCTCACCGCCCCATCCATCAAATATTTTATCCGCAACTAAGTGTGTATTTTGCTACTGAAAAGACTGTACTATCACTGCTGAAGTGGACATTCATGAAGACGTTATGAAAATAACCGTGACCCATGACTTTTATTAGGTCTTCATAAATGTCCTTGACTGCACAGTTCAGCAGAGATCGTACTTTGATGTATGCACTACTCTCAAGGCTAGAAAATGGAACATTTTCCAAGTGGTTTTTACATTGGTCACCCCCAGAGGTCATATCTATGATAAATATATATTTAATAATTGATAATTAGTAACAAACGCACATTAAAGAATGGACTTTCAAATGCTGAAGCTAACATTTCCCTCAGGTATAGGATTTCAAAGTTACAAAGGTGTTCCTGGAACATATTGATTGCCCCTCGCATTTAATCACAACATAGAGGTGAATGGAGGGTAGGCTTCCCACACCATTAGGTATTACACAAATGTAATTTTTCACTCAAGTGATTCGCTTAGCGTGAAAGAGCTTTAAAAATGTGCAGGGTGTTCCAAGATCTAGAAGATTCTGAGAGAGGGCCTTGATGCCAGAAAATTTGTTTGTGAGCGGTGGCATGTTTGCCTTCTTCCACAAGACATTTGAATATTTTTGTGAGAATCAATTTGTTGCATTTTAGAGATGAATGGAGGGAAATATGGACATTGCGATCCATGCAAACTATGAACGGGACATAGTATGACGACTTAAAACTACTATTTGGTCGTATTTCTATGAGATCATAGGTGCACCTTCGTTGATCACCAGATGTCGTCACTACTTGCTCCAATAGGTTTACGAGCGAAGATTGTCTTACAAATGGAGTAATTTATCCTTCGCTTGAATCCGTTTCGTCGGGCTTCTCGTTGTGGAACGCACGTTTCATTAAGGTCATCTGGGAATTTAAAATTATCCTCACCGTCTGTTGGGACTTACAGCTTAAACCTATTGGCGCCCTCATCCATGACTCCAATAAAATTCACAAATAAAAATGGTTTCTCGCTTGTAGACATTTGAATATATCTGAACTAGGGCAACACAGGGCGACGCGTCGCATCAGTCATGAGTATGTGCCTGAATGCATGAGGATGTTTCCCATGCGTGTTTCATGCAGGAAACAGAACACCGAAGTAGACTAAAGCTATAAATAAATAGTAGGCTCTAACTTTAAGCAATTGCCAATTTTCACACCCTATCCAATCAAAAGAACAGACTATTACAGGAAGCAAAATATATTAAACATGCATCCTCATGCGATCGCCATTTACCTCGTCACGATTCCATCCCGAAAAAACCACTACCGCCACCAAGCACTTATTACTTCGATTCAATGAATTTCCAACTTGCGATCCTATGCAGATGGACATATAATATTTATCCGTGCCTTGCTGAAGAAGGCAAAACCTGAATGTGCCACATGTGGGAAATGAAAATTTATTTCAAAACGTTACGTCCCCAAGAAATATGCCCCCGAAAATATTTTGGAAATTTGACGTTTGACATGTGAGCTCAGTGCGTCTACTGTCACGTTCTTGCCTACTTTCAGTTTTCCATGTGTCTCCGTTTGATGGAAGCAAAGAGAACTATTTGAAAATATGTTCCCAAAAGGTGTGCCGCTATGGCATGTATCACCAAAGTAGAACTTTTCCTGAACTCAGTATGCGAATAGCTACTTATGTCAGTCAGTCAGCTACACAGGATCCTCTATATATAATAAAATTCGATTTTTTTCTTCACTCAGCTATCCCTCAGGTACTTCATTGCCAAGTTTAAACTTTCGTGCGCCCTCTGTTTTGCTGGATCAGAAAATTCGTGAAAAGAAGCCTTTTGCAAAATATGTGCCCTGAGCAATTAACCGAATATTACCATTTTTTTAAATACCGAAATCCATCCTCAGTGAACTACATGCCCACAAAGTTTCAGTATTGTACCTTTGCCCTTTTCGCTGGTGAAAAAACATCTTTGGAAAGCCGACCCACCCAAAAGCTATGCCCGGAGGGGATGCACCATAAAAGCTGAATAATCCCTCAGCTCAGTAATATCATGTCACATACACGTGTGCCAAGTTTCACCTTTCCATTTCTNTCTGTCCAATCCGCCACGACAATTTTTTTTTTAAAACATCGCCCCTCGAAAAAATTACCCCAGGGGATGTACCGAGACTTAACTTTTTTTTTTAACTCATTGTCTCAGTAGTCATGTTCGTGCAAAGTTTCAGATTTCCATGTTCTTCAGTTTATCTGATGCAAAAAAATTAGTTGAAAACATCTCCCTTTGAAATTTGTGCCCCAAGGCATTTACTTCCAATGTCTGAGTTTTTCTGCAGCATCCCAATAGGTAGTTATGTACCAATTTTCATTTTTCCACACTAGCTCAATACGCCAGGACAAAAAATTACTTGAAAACGTCGCCCCCTAAGAATATCCCCCAGGGTATAGATCTAAATTTTCCTATTTTTCCTGAACTCATCGCCTCTGTAGGCACCTCCTTGCCGGTTTGATATGCTACTATTCCACCACTGAACTTCCAGTTCCAGTTCCACTTCCAGTTGATTCTCTGAATGCCATCCTCATCTGTCACAATATATGTTGAAGAAAAACGTTTCCCCCCTAAATTTGTACCGCCGGGGCATGTATCTCCAAAGTCGGATTTTTTTCTGAACTCTGCATCCCAAAAGGTACATGTGTAACAAGTTTCAGATTTCTAACCTTTCTAGAACATGTTTAGAATTAGTGTCAAGTCAGTCAGTCACGATCGTCTATATATTAATATATTAGATATGATATATCTGGTATTTGTCATCTGATAACTGTGGGAGGTTGGAGAGGGGGTGGTGGAATTCCACCAAACTCTTAAAACCAGAGAGCATGGTTGAATAATCCTACCTCTGCTCATCATTAGAGCATGGGAGAACATGGAAGCGTCCGTATTTGATGCGAGGAGGTAGTCCACAGCCGGTTTCCCCTGCCTACAACCGGCAATAATATTCCTTCAATCCTCTGTTTTCCTATGCGAGGTGTGATGAAAATTTCAGGGACTGAATTTTTTATGATGCTGTGGTGACTCTTTCTGACTACCAATATATCCTTCAAAGTAGTCATCTTTGGCATCTACACAAATTTTCTGGCGTTTCTTAAGCTGGTGGAATAATTGCTGACACACGTCTTTTGGAATCACCAGCAACACTTTTGGCGAATTCATAGCACTGGTTTAAATGTCCTGAAACTTCCTTTATTTTCCAATGTCAGCGGTATCTGACCTATCTCGCAATCCCTGTGCTTCATAAGCCATCCAACTCGCGGGATCTACCTCCGAGGATTTTTCCCCTAAGCTGAAGAACGTGACGAAATGAAAAGTTCAGGCATTCACAGCCAGATTGGAAATGCGACATGAGCAATGCTGGTGATTCCCAATTTTAAAAGTCAGCAATGTCCCCACCGGCTGAAGAAAAGCTGGAAAATTTGTGTATATGCCAAAGTGGACTAGTTTGAAGAATATAACCATAAGTAATTGGTAAGAGTCACCACATCGTTATAGAAAAATCGGTACCTGAACTTTTTGATCACCCGTCGCACTTGATTTATTACTTCTTCATAACATGCATGACAGAATGTAAACTTACACTTCCATGCCGAGGTGGAATTGATGCATTGGAGCTGATGCAGCAGACTTGATTCTCTTTCTGACAGGCGAAGGAAGAGTTGAGAGTACCTTCAACGCACATGCTAGGATGCTGCAAATTTATACATCTTAGACCGCCTACGACGTTGGGACACTGAGGGCGGCATGGACATACAGGTATTCTCGCGCTGGGACAACTTTTCAGTATATCCTTCAGGTAATAGGTCTTCGAAGTTGTTTCATTTGTGCATGTCCCACTTACTTTTTTGAACGATTCAGGAGAGAATGTCAACCCGGATAAGACACAGTCACACAGGATGGGATTGTCTGGAAAGAGGACAAAAGTGCAAGGAAAACAATGAAAAAAATAAACAGGAAGCACTTGGACAGCCCAGGCACTCACCATCTAGGCGAAGAAATCCATCTCCATGGGAAAGATCCTTCAGGATCCCGTGGAGACTCCTCCCGTCAATTTTAGCTATCCTGTTTTTTTTAAGGTCGACAATTGTGTGAGCCCAAGGACCTGGCATGGACGCGGATAATAATCTGCTTAGATTTGAAACAGGAAAATGATTTCATTAGTTGTTTTCTCTCCAAAAAAATAATCATGTGTAAACCCTCACTTCCCATATTTATTCTTTGTGGCAATCAGGTATACTCCACGGACATGGGAAACGATTCTCAAGATGTGAAGTTCTACAGGTCATTTAATTTAAATTGTACACCTTTGAACACTCATATCTATGAGCGGACGCAACCAATCTCCATGAAAATTTGACGACTTGCGACTTTTGCCAAAATATTCGACAGAGTTTTTTAATCGCAGCGCCCTCTATCAGGTTGAAAAGCAGATTCTACCAAAGCCTCTGAAATCAAGATCTCATCAACTTCATAACATCTATAAAGGCTCATCATTCATTAGATTATGCCTTGATTCAGTAGCCCTAAAAGTTTTACGATTTTTTTAATCTCATCTCCTTACTGAAATATCAATCGTCAAACCTTAGCCAATTAAAGCATTTTTGGTCATTCCAAGACAATTCGACCAGCAAGAAAGCTCGACCATCTCGGATTTTGGCGAAAGTCGGCATGCACGAAGAGAAATCGATTTAAAGAGACTAATTTCAACCAATTCTTTTCTAATCTCTCTCATGGATCTCCCATAGGGGAGTTCAAGGTCCAATGACACTTTATTTTACGCACAAGCAACAGATGATGCAAGAACAGTGAAAATCTGCATACATGTTACTGTAACACTGCGTGACGTATACGCTGAAGATGAAAGGTGAATGAGAGTTCCTCGTTGAAGAAAACAAGATCGCGTCGGGCGCTATTACTCCGGCATTGGAACAGTGATGCGTAATCAAATTTATGAAGGAAGGTGTCAAAGTGGTAGAAATCCACTGTAGACTAACATAACAGATTGGCAATGCTGTTCTTTCAAGGCGAACGGTGTATCGTTGGTGTGACATGTTTAAAAATGGACGTGAATCAGTTACCGATGAGGATTGTTCGCGCCCACCAGGCACAGCACAGACACCGGTATTTTGTTCTGGGCAATCTTGGGTGTGATTTATGTGGAATTTCTGGAGCGCAATAAAGCAGTTGATGCAAATTACTACCATGATCTTTTGAAAGGCAAAGTGCAGCAGGCCATACGCCAGAAACGCCAAGGGCTACTGAGTAGAGACGTGATAATATTCCATGACAATTTTCGCTCTCATTCGGTGAACATGATCGTGACAATCATAAATCGACGGAGTTAGGAGATTTTGGAACACCCCCTTACAGTCCACTTCCCTCCCTAAGTGACTTCCACATGTTAAAAAGAAACCTTTAAAAAGAAACATTCGTCTAGGTAGATATCCAGGCCTAATGAAGAGTTGTAGAATTGTGGCCTCTGTTGGCGCCAACACCTACCTTAATGCTTTTTTTCAAAGGTTTACAAGTTCTATCCCACCCATGGGAGAAGTGTACACGTGTAAAGAGGAAACAGATTGAAAATTAGACAACGTTTCTCAACTGAGGAGGATGTATCGTTTATTGTTCCTTCTGTGGAAAATAACTTGTCAATGGACCTTGAACTCCCCTCGTAACTTTGGCAAAATATGAATTTGTAGGTAAATCCCCCTAAAGCACTTTTTTCGCAAAAGGAAAATATTCCTGAATATTTTTCAAATTTAATATAATAAATGTTTTTACAAGTTTAACATGAGACACAATGGGATAACTCTCTTGTGGACATGTGCTCTCTGAAGAAGCTGTTGTTTGTGGGGGTTTGAACAGCAAATGATGAATTAATTTAGCATATTGGTCATTTGCTTCCCATGTTAACATATTCAGTCAAACGTAATTTTTAGGCAATTCATTCAAGAAATCCCGGTGGTATTTCTCGACCATTCGTGTCAGCAACTACAGCTGTCAGATGGAGTCCAGAAAGAAGAGGAAATATAAGTTTTGCAGGAGCTGCATCAGTATAGCATGTTGATCAGTTCATTATCCGTCTTCAGATAGAGAAATAAGTTATTTCCTTCTTTTCCGAAAGATGAACGAAAGATTAAGGATGTGGTAAACGTGACGTCACAAGACGGAGAACCGAAGAAATTAAAGAAGTTACATTAAGCATTATCGACGAAATACAAATATCATCAACTCACCATTACTTTCCTTCGACTTAAATGGAAATCCCTCAGACAGGCTGTCGCTATTGAAAGCTGGAATTGAGGTCAACATGTTGTTCTGGAGCTCGAGTTTTTTCAATTTGGGAGTTGCCCATTTGCCGAACTCCACATTTGTGATTTTATTTCCGTCGAAGTTGAGGTTTTCCAGGCTGTCGCTCTTGAAGGCTGGAAGTGAGGTCAACGCATTGGACTTGAGCGAGAGGATCCTCAAGTTGGGAGTTTCCCATCTTTCGAACTCCACTCTCGTGATATCATTTCCGTCGAAGTATAATTCTTCCAGGCCGTCGCACTTGAAGGCTGGAAGTGAGGTTAACTGATTGTTTTGGAGCCAGAGGATCCTTAATTTGGAAATTTCCCATCTATCGAACTCGAGATTAGTGATTCTATTATTATAGAGGTAAAGTTCTTCTAGGGTGTCGCTTTTGAAGGCTGGGTCTGAGGTCAAGGCGTTTTGATCAAGCCAAAGTTTTCTTAATTTTGGAAATGCCCTTCTGTCAAACTCCATATTCCAAATAATATTGTTGCTGAGGCGGAGTTCTTCGATTTCCTCAAGACTGTTGCTCTTGTAGATTCGAACTGCTTCTATCTTACAGTAGTAGAGCTTGAATATCCTCAATTTGGGCGTTGCCCATGTGTCGAATGTCAATTCACGGATAGAATGAAATGCGCCGTGGAGTTCTTCAAGGCTGTCGCTTTTGAAAGCTGGGAGTGAGGCAATCCCATATATGCTTCCCATTTTGGAAAGCTGGATTCTTCTCCATTTTGGAAGATCCCTGCAAGTACAGAGAACTTGAAAAGTAAAAATTATACTAATTCTTTTCAGGGTGTATGGGGTTGACACAAGTACATTTAAATATTGAATACACAGAAATGAAGAGTGATCCAAAATCATTGCGGGAATTTCCCTTACTAGACCGAAATTAAAGATTTCATTTACATCATGACGCGGATACACAGGGTGATTTTAAATCAGTTCCTGGTTTCCAATTCAAAAACCTATTTTTACAGTAACATTTTAATGACCATATTTGCATAAAATATGAAGAAGGCACGAGAGATTCGTGTGGGCTCAAAAACAAGGATGAATCAGGGGAAAGTATCTAAGGGCAGCGCTGTAGCAATATGGCGTCCTTCACAGAGGAGCAAAACTTTTTCCTTGTGAAATGGTACTTCAGGCTGACCGAATTACCTATTGGTGTGCAAATACAGTATTGACCCTTTCATACCAGGAATGCACCATCCGACATAACTAATACCAGACCTCTTAAGCAGTTTGCATAGGAAGGCGACGTCAGGGACCGTCAAATGGGTCATTCCAATCTCCAAGCGTACGGCGCAAAATGACTCTCTTGCACGACAAATATTCATCTGCATTTCCCAGAAAGAGCTCCCGATGAGCTTCACAATTTGATAATTCGTTTTCAGCAACATGTACGATTTTCTATACGAGTATTTCTGCATATCCATACAAAATCCAGACGTACCAAGGGGCGACGGAAATTAACGAGGAGAAACGTTTCCTTTCGCAAGGAGCCAATCTTCCCGGTTATTCCCCAAGTATTCTCTCCGTTTGGAGCCGTGTAATTCATGAAAATGGAGGTCACATCAGACGTGTTCTGATCATCAATGAGACCACATGAATCTTTCATGTCTTCAAACGTGTGCAGAATATTCGAAGTACCCCAGATTATTTCAGAGAATATGGATGCGAATAGTTTCGCAAGCATAATGTGTGTATCGCCAACCTTAATTATGACTCATTAAAAACGTTTGCTCTATATTCGAGGAACTATAGATAATGAGATCGAACACGAGAAAAAAAACTTCACAGAGATGTAACTTGACTAGGGTATTAAAACTATTTCATACTGACCTGAGAAGGTTAATTTCATTTTAAACAGAAATACACTTTGATGTTAAAGTAAAAAAAAATAATCTAATGATAGCCGTTAGTTATGTTCAATACTGGTGAACACGTTGCGTAATGAACGCAATCATGTTCTTCAAAGTTTAATTCTACTTATAGCTGATGACAGTTTTCAAGTCTTCAATATTATGAAGCTTCTCAACTTAATCCAGATTCTTGAGATATCCCCACGATGACTGACCATCGGCAAAAGTTAAGCAGCTGTTACGCCTCGTTTCGAGTTAGATCAGTAAGCAATGAAAACTGCTCGAAAACGTGCAAGAAAAAATATTATGCGAAACCCCACAGACGAACTCTGTAGCCTGCTACCGAGTTTTTTGCCCTTAGGGCAAACAAACTCGCTCTTGTCGTTCCTTCGGTGCTCCATTCCCGGGATAGACATTTATTCAATAACTTCTTTTCAAAGCGGCAAAATTTTATTCAAAATATGTGGCCGTCCGAATGTCTATCGAGAGAGAAAACAACGATATTTTCATCGGAATTAATGACACCCATTGCGTTTCGTGGGCATAACTTCAATTCTATTAATAATCTACCCTGAGGGATCATATTTTAAAAGTAGGACATGCACTCAGCAATCGAACAGGAATCGAATAATTCAGCTTCAAGTTTCAACTGTCTTTAGTTCCCTGCTCCATTGAATCAGAAAAGTTTACGGAAAGAGCACCTTTTGCAAATAATTACCCTCAAGGGTTTTACCTGAAAATGATTTTTTTATTATACTGAAATCTGTACTCTGAGAACTACGTGCATAACAAGTATTAGCCTTATCCGTTTGCTCTTATTGCTTGTGCAAAAATATATTTGGAAAGCCGGCCCAGCCAAAAGCTGTGCCCTTGGGGTATGCACCTCAAAACCAGAATTTTTATGAACTCACCATCACCCCAGTTATTGTTATTCCTAGTTCTGCCATGAATACTGTTACAAGATGTACATGTTCCTTGCATTCTAGCGAAAGAAGCTAGAAACTTTTAACCTAATAATCGTGCAGTGTATTATCTGCCGTATTGTTTGGTAACATGTTAACTGGTTTGTTGCTTGCAGTAAACATGGAGTGGGGTGACAAAGAGATTCGCATAGCAGTGATTGCCCTGTAAAAATTGGGTCAGAAACCTGCAATCATTTCAAGACTTGCAGCCACTTGGAATCAGTCGGCAGTTTGTTTACCGATCTATCAAACGTTACAATGATACTCAGGGAGTACGAGACCGCCCTAGATATGGACGTCCACCCACTGCCAGAACACCACGGGTCATCAAAGAAGTTATCAACAGGATTCAGCGAAATCCTCTATGCAAGCAGAAAGTGATGGCCAGGGAAATGGCCATCTCGACTAGAAGCACGTATCGGTTGATTAAATCAGACCTAAGGACGGGTGTTTACGGAAGAAGCACAGGACACATGCTGACTCCATCTCTGAAAGAAATCAGGAGGTCGCGATCGAAAGTGTTGCTGCAGAGGTACGCGCAAAACAGACACCACAAAATCCTCTTTACTGATGAGAAATTCTTCACTGTTGAAGAAAAATTCAACTGGCCTAATGGCCAAGTGTTTGCCCGCAACTCTTGGGAAACTGCAGAAGTCATCCATAAGGTGGAGAGAGGTCACCATACTGCTTCTGTCATGGTTTAGTGGGGGGTGAGTTATGAGGGTGTCACCAAGCTCTATTTTTGCAAGCAAGAAGTGAAGACATCAGCCAAAGTGTACCAGGAAGAAGTCTTAGAGAAGATAGTGAAGCCTCTCAGCAAAACAATGTTAAATGGGGGCAACTGGATCTTTCAGCAAGACACCGAACCTGTTAACAAGGTTTGGACAACGCAGGAGTGGCTAGCCAGCGATGTCCGCGAGTCCATCAAGGCCACAGATTGGCCATCTGGGAACCCACTGGACAACAAACTGTAAAAGAATAACCCAAAAAATTTGTCCCATGGGAATGTATCCAAAGCATGATATTTTTCTCAGTCTCAGTAGGTACGTCCTTGTCACGTTTCAACTTTCCATGTTTATCCATTGGCAGAAACAATACAGAAATATTTGAAAATTTTCCCCCCTGAAATTTGTGCCCCCAGGGCGTTTACCTCCAAATTCGGAATTTCCCCCAATTCAGTTTCCTACTAGGTAATTATGTATCACATTTCAACCTTCGATCTCTGGCCAATTCGATATGACTGGGAAAAAAAATTATTTGAAAACATCACCTCCAAAAAAGTATGCCAGCAGGGCATGCATCTGAAAATTGACCTTCTTCCTGAACTTTGTTCCTCAGTAGGTACGTCCATACCAAGTTTCAGCGTTCCATGTTCATCCGTTTGACTGAAGGAAATATATATCAATGAAAATCATCTCCCGCAAAAATGGGTTCCTCCAGAGCTTGTACCTCGAATGTCGGATTTTTTCTGAACTCTGCATCCCAAAAGGTACACGTGTACCAAGTTTCAGATTTCTAGCTTCTCTAGAACATGGTTAGAATTTGCCTCAGTCGTTCACTTAGTCACTCACGATCGTCTATACATATATGCAGATATCAATTTGATAGTTGACACGATGGAAACAATGGCAGACATGCTCCACTTTTGGGGTCAACGTGCTAGCCTCTCTGAAGATAACTATACAAAGGTCAACATGATTCATCAATAACTGAGGAAGTGGGAGTATCTCAGACAATACAGGTATTTAACATAGAATGAATGAATATTGCGGATCTAAAGAAAGTTAATTATATTTGATTCAGAACTATTCTGTTATTAAATCATTCCTACCAACTGTATACATTAAAATTGCACTTTCATGTTCCAGTCTTCATTTTTTTAGACATCTTCGGAACCTATTGGAACCGCTTGATCACCCTCAAAGTTTTCCCGAGAGGAAGATCCAGAACTACTAACTAGAGGTGGAAGAGGAAAGGAATGGAAATGGGAGGGAGCTATAGAGGGAACTGACACCGCCGTACTCCATTGATAGGCCTTGAGCGTTATGTGATTGGAAAAAATAACCTGTAGAAACGAGGACGCAGACTCACCAGGGCACATCGTAAGGCCATGAGGTCACCAACAGTGCTGAGGAAATCTCCTCATCAGACCTGACATTCGAACAATCAACTGTCACGTTTCCAATCGAATCTTTCGTGCACTTGCAGGGTTCTATGGATTTCGTGGGGCAGTCAAAGGCACCAGACAACAAGAAGGGGAAGAAAAGGAAGAGGATGGTCAAAAATGGTATCATTGCAGGATTCCCTCTAGGAGGGAGGCAGATTATGGCCTGTGGTCTCTTTCCGTTTGAGTTCTTTCTTCTTAGATGATTGAAGTGGATCCACGTGAGTGCGATAAGTATTCCTGCTGGTAAGGAAGAATACCTCTGCACATGCCATAAACCATGCCAGGAAATATTCAATACGTTTTACTGGATGTGATATCGACCGATATCAATGGACACATTTTCTTTATTTTACGATTTTCGCAAGAACATATTACAATTTCCTGATCAGTCGAGAATCACTGTTCTTTTAAGAGGGGTTAATAAAACATGATTGATTCCGTCAAAAGGATACGTTATTTCAATGCACATTGGCTTCCAAAAGAAATAGTATAATATAACTAACGAGTTTGTTTGCCCTTGGGGCAAACAAACTCGCCATGGTGGCGCCTTCGGCGCTTTATTACCTTGGATTGTGATTAATTCATTCATTCGTTTGCGAAATTGGAAACACGTATTTAAAGTAGGTCCCAATTCAAATACATGACATATTGGGTCAAAAGACTTGATTTTTATCAAAATCATTACGTCTATGATTCTATGTGTGCCTAATTTTA